GTTCATATTAGTCATTAACAATAACAGTAACAACAGCTTTTTGACGTAAAGTTTCTTTAAAATACATTAAAAAATATAAAAAAAATACTACAAAAAAATTTGATAAAGTGCACATTAAAATATAGCAGTATCTGCAACTGTATTTGATAATGTTTTGAACTTTTAAAATAATTCATGATAGAACCAGAAGCTATACTTCATATTAGTTACAAACCATGGCCTTTTTTGATGGGTTACTTTCATTTTTACCTTCTACTTTTCATTTAAAAGTTTCCATTTTCGCCAGGTATCTAAAGGTTCTTCTTCTATATATTAAAAATGTTGTTAAACATCTGAGTGGCGCACTACCGCTACTAGTGGTGAGAAAGTGTATTGCACCTTTTTCAAAATCAATGCGGTGCCACGGCCCTCTGCGGCCCAAAGTTAAAAACTGTTGTTTTTTTGAGGCCCTCAAGGTGGCGCTCGCACAATTGTGGGCAGCAGCCCATGGGTTAAGAATCTCTGGATTAAATGATTGATGATTCAATTACCTCAAGGCAAAACAAAAACATTGATCCATTTTGTCATGCTCTACAGATCGGTGTATCGATCACAGATTTGTGAACTGAACTGAAATCGTATCATGACAGACTTTGCGATAGAGGAACGTTGTATTGTCATCCAAACAAATCAATATAATATTGTGATAAAGCTGATGATTTACACCTATAACAGCCCTGCAATCAAATTCCCTTTAAACTCCTTGGGTTATTTCATGTTATTCTGTGGGGGAGATCCAGATTCTTCCTGTATATTTTTTTGAGAAACACTCAAAGCCTTTATAAAGATGTTAACACACGTTTCATGTCAAGCTTGTAATCTTCAAAGTAACCTTCCTCCTCAAACTCTTATGCGCCCTAGGAGTATAATGATACTCATAGGTCATGGTGGGGTCACAGTTAGGTGCAGACACTAAGAGCAAAGCTGATAAAAACGAGAAAAAAAAAACTTCAATTCAAATGGGAGGAAAAAACAAACAAACAAGTATTGAATCCATCATGTTAGGGGATACGATTCGACACCAACATCAGTATCATATGTTGATTCTTACTCATCCAGGACATAGAAATTTAAAAAAGAGAGAGGAAGCCACTGGGTTTCTGTAGACATCCAGATTTCCATTTTTTAAACTGCATGACACTGGTATCAATAACATCAACATTTGGATTGATCCATTTATCTGCTTCAATGACAGTAAATCAGATGGAATGTGGAATGACCTTATATACAGAGGTCYATTTGAAAACACTGACCATGTGTCCAGCTTCGTACCACATATGAAAAAGTCCTGAGTTGGGTTTGAACAATAAAAAAAACAATTGCATGTTCAGACTGTCATAAAAATAGAATTGAAAGAAAATCAAACGGGAATGGGTAGTGTACAGACAAAAAAATTATAATCTACCAGATTTGGGTCACTTTGCCTGCAATGTGAATGTAGACTAAGAGCTTTTTATTAGAAAGAACAAAATTCTACCTGTTTTGGTCAAACCTTAAAATCAAGTTACGCACAATCTTGTGCTATATTTCCTGATGGAAAATGTGGATTAGCTTTGAATCTTAGCTGTGCATCTTTAAACTGACTCCAAAAGCTAATCAGATATAGAGGTAGATCCACTGATCATTTTCTGAAAGTTTCATTCAAACCCATCCCATTGTTCATAAGATACCATGGTAACAGACAGACACACAAACACACACAGTAGCTGCAGWGTTTGTCAGTAATGACCCATTTGCATCAGACTAGGAATAGAAAAATGTAATGAGAACTTTAACCTCCAAAACAATTGAAATGCCCTGTTTTTGTTTTATTTTGTTTTGTTTTTAAGATTCAAGATGAAAGTGCTTTATCTAAAATCTTCTTTATGAAACCAGGACTTACTGAATTGTCAACACTGACCTCTAGAAATGCGGTCTCCTACACAGAGGTGGAGGGTGAAGTAAGTGTCCAGCAGAGGAGAACCATTCCTGTTGACGATGTTCCTGGCAGCGATGCTCCGAAGGTGACGTAATCGTCTCTGCATGTCAGAAAGAAAGCAAAGATACATTAAAAACAAACAGAAAACGATTTTAAAAATCCTGTTTTCTGTTAAATCACTGCTCGTCTGATGCTTACAGGCAGACACAGCAGGTCTGAAAATACTCCACTCTCACCTGGTCCCAGAATAAACTAAACCAGACACCCACAGAGACCAGCAAGGCATCAGATTGTTTATTCAACATTTAAAAAACAATTATTTTATTCATAGAGGCAAAACCAGCTGCTCCGTGTTACAGTATCAGCCATATGACTTTGGTAAGTAGCCAGGGAACAGGGCAATCAGTCACATGAAAAAAACTTAGTTCTAAACATGATTTATGACAGAATTTACAATAGTGACAGAGTTCTCATGATATTACAAAAAATACTTTAAACGATTCACACCACCATTATTACCTCTCCAAGCTATTTAAGGAAAATGTATGTTAAAATGTATTTAAGTGAAAATGACATGTTGAGGTATAATAAATATTTCTGAAATCAGTGCCTGTGTGTGTTCCAGTGTTTGCGGGTGGACAGGAGCATGGACGACATTCGACAGCTTTCCACTTCAGACAACAACATGATTAGCACTGAACAGCTTTCCTCCTGACCAGCAGGCCCAGCCTCCCTCCTGCAGCCCTGAAGGAACAATCTAAGTCATGGGATTCCCTACAAGATTACTGATCTAAGGCACAAAAAAAACCTGATTGTTCCACAAGAACTTTTAACACCCTCTGCCCTACACATTTTTGTATATCCTATTGTAGGTCAAAAAGCGAGGCAATTTAAAGCTTAGCATTCCTTAAAGGAATACAACCACTACATTCATAACAGACTTTAGACTCGTATCATTTCAGGATGAAACATATGGAGCGGTGGCCATTTTGGTCAAACCCTGAAAATACCAATGTCAATATTAATGAGACCTCAGGTATTTACAACTGCAACAACTAATCAATAAAATAGATAAAAATTGATTATTAAAAGTGTTGGCAATAAATGTCATTATATATCTGTTGTGTCGGGTAATTTATGATGGTATTAATTTAATGATTAAGCTTTAAGTTTTAATTGGCTGACAATGTCTGAGTGAAGACACTTGCCTTACTTACTTAACTTAACCTAATACTGCAAAAAACAAGGCYGTTATTGAATTATTGTAATAAGCAGCTGTCTTGACTGAAAATATTCTTAACATGATCGTCACTGACATGAGACTGTCCATGATCACAGATAAAGACTTCACTACAACACTCTTCCCTCAAGGACACATTTTATAAAGCTCAAGGAGAGAAAATATGAAGAGACTTTCAAGGATATAAGACACGTTTGTGTATTATTTAGGATAAAAAAATTTTTTACTGAAGCTATTTGACAAATATTTATGTATTTATGCATTTCAGTTTTTATATA